GGACGACTGAGTGTTGCATTTCTGCATCATGGGTGGTGTGCTTGAATTATAGTAGGTACGGTTGTCTATGTGCTTTATGCCTATTTATGCTTTACAAGCATGAAATACCGTCTTAATTTTGTTTGAACTGATCTATGACATGTGTGTTGACTACCATTATGAGTAGTCAGATACACCTGCCGCCTTACTATCCCTTATATCTGCGATAGTAAAGGTTTTAATGTCACTTGGGTCCTCGTTGTAACGAGTTTAGTTAAGATCGTGTAATATTATTCTTGGTTGGTAAGACTGACATAGCCTTTCCGTTCACTGAGATGGGGAAAGAAATTATGATCTCTTAGTAACCAAAACGTGGGCTGGATTTCAGAGATATTGATAATATTTTTTGTTACCCTAGATACAGACCTGCCTGATAGACAGCGTGGAACGATTGCCACTGGCAGCTACCGGAGCCCCTCTGATTATTCGAGGCAAGAATTTTCGTGTGGCTTGCTTCCTCCTTCCTCACGATCGAGATTGTCAAAAGGTCTATGAAACTCTTACCAACCTAACACAAGTCCGTAGGTTCCTAGCCTTCCACTTCTCTTTTCTGACTTTGCAGTAAAAAAAATCCCATTTTCCTACGGCGAAATGTAGTATTTTAGGGAGTAATTTTTTTTAATTATAAAGCATAAATTGGGTGGGATGGTCCCGTTAGCTTACATTCCTATGAACTCCTAAATCCTTTTTAAGTATTACCTTAAACGAGTCATTATTTTGTGTAGGTAAGTGTAACTGTCTTAGTGGAGCTCCCAGCACGTTCTCAAGCAGCACTTTGTTCACCTCCAAGACAATAGTTTCAGAGTATTTCCCGCTTGAACATACTGAGGTGGTTGCAGAAGACAGCCAGCTTTGAATAAGTGCGGAAACTCAAAGTGCCGTGCTGCAAGTACTCTTGATAGCATCGAGTAGGCTATTTCCAATAATTATTTCTCATCCCTTTTTCAGCAAGCATAAAGCATCTACCGTGTTTCCGAGAGTGGCCATCGGGACTCTCCCTCATGCGCGGCGAGGGCTGGAACTTCTTCGATCTGCGCACAGATTTCGCTCGAATGGGTCTCCCCAATGCTTCTTGGATTGTCGTTGATAATAATCATTATCAGGTTAGGCTTTTTGTTATTTCCGTACGTTGTCCTCCCCCTATCCACTCTCTTATACGAGAGGTGTTCAAATCAAACCAGGCCTATTGAGCTTACGAAAGGTAGCAATATCTGTTCAGAAAGTGTAAGGCATATTTATTTTCCTCTTCCAGTGAAATTTTAAAGGAAGAAGTCATTTAAAAATCAGAGTAATTACAATTGCACAGGCAGTACCGACCCATTTCACTGGTTTACAGTGAAAGCTGAGGGCTCAGTTTCGCTTTTGAACTGAAATGATGCATTAGTATAAGGAAGATTTGGGGTTCCTTTACAGTCGCAGTATTGAGGCTGAAAGCACGATTACTCAAATATGCTTGGTTGAAATGCCCTCACAACAAATCTCTTTCGGAAGCGCTTCATAGGTGAATAGGGATGAGCATTCAGTTCTAAGATCCTGTCTATAAATGCTACCCACCGAAAAAAGAGATGTGTGAGCGCAGATTCGTCGAGTATATATTTCAGAATAGAGGTCTTTACTGCGATAATCTGAGTCTCGTTTTTGGGTGCTTATATTTGATTAGTTTTGATCTTGTAGTGGATATTGATGCCTATAAAGGACGTCTATGTGATGTTGCACGTTCGGGCATGAGGCGCCGAAAAGGGAAGTAATGGAGACTTAGGAAGTCAGAATTTTTTGTAGTCGTTGACATCTCCAACGTAATCCTTCGTAGAATAAACTTAACACCGCATGCATTATGATGTTCGCTTTCTCACACAAACATTCCCATGTCCGTTGTTTTTCTCCAATTTTCTCTTTCGCTTGGCAGATCTGCGACACCTATCCCAGCATCCTTTTTGTGCCCAAGCAGGCGAACTACGCCACACTGTTGGGGAGTGCAAATTTCAGGTCTCGCAAACGCCTCCCTGTTCTCACTTGGATCCATCCCAATGGCAGGGTGAGGTTTTAATGCTTTTGTTCTCAGTCTATCGACCATCTTTGTGTAGCTTTGCTTGTCGATGAACGGTTGCATTGCCATCGAAGTTCAAGTGTACGAAGTCAAGATTCTGAAGTTCGAGTTTTGTTGTTTTTTAGCTACATGGTTAATGGAGAGGTGATTCTGCTAAAGGATTGTTTCGGCTTCTTTCTCCCTTTGTAATAAATATGTTAGATTGTGTGATGTTTAGTGAAGAAAATTGCTAGTTATAATCAATAGATCGGATCTCTCAAGGTTGCGGTCACCATTTACTTGTAGGCTTAAGCCAAACTTGAGACCGAATTGCTTTTATATAATTCACCATTACTTCTGGAAGATAGGTGTAAGTAATATAGACTTCATTTCTTCGGCACCAGCGTCGCCTACATGTGGCGTGCATTCTTTACCTGTTTACGATGGATAGCTGCTCCAAAATTTTTGCACTTAAGGTACTGGAATTGGTTTGGGAGGTTCCTGGGTTTTTTGGTCAGGAAAAGTTACTTCACAGGGAAGCGGAATCCGACTATCTAGCCATCTTCTTTCAAATAGATGAACAAAGCTGGACAAAATATACTCCTAGTTCATGTTTGTTTTATAAACAGATATGCTTTGTCGTTAAATCAGCCTTTGCGGACATTGTTACTCATACAATGTGTGTTTGGTCGAATGCATTCTTTTACGCTGGTTCATCTGTTTTCGTGACATCCATCCCTGTCGCTTATACGTAAACTCTTTCCCGTAGTCTATTACGATGAACTGTGAAACGTGCCCTGTGAGGCCGTAACATTTATAGAACCGATAAGCCGTTGCTAATGGCTGTTTTCAGACTTCTAGTGATCATGTCAACGGACAAAATCGTTCATTGGGTTATTTTAGCGATGATATATTACAGAAAGAAAATTTTATGAACTGTTTGCCTCCTTCTTTCTGAGGCTCATCACGATTATTCAGCTCCTTTAAAGCTCATACGAGTAGTCTCGAATGGTGAAGTGTTTTTAAAGTGCCACCTGTCATGCGCTGATGCTGCTGTCACGCATATTTCGAGATAGAGGTACCAGATCCTTTGGTGATAGGATTGAGGGCCCAAATTTCGCATGAGCGTACGGCCATCAAGTTTTTCGACCCAGTTGCGTTGCTATGACGTGGTTCTCTGCTCAAATTCACATTTGAATGCAGTAGGAACTTTAGGCGTACCTACGAATTCACCGAATTTTCAACAAAAACGCTAATTGACGAGTAATTGCAAGCTCAAATGCACATCGGAAATGCAAAAAGCAGAAGTGAATAGGAATATTGTTTCTAAGATTCAGTAGCTACTGAACAAGTCTTGTAGTTTCCGGTATTACTCACTGGACTGAAGTTCCATAACTTGTAGGAACTTTTGAAATGCATAGAGTTGTTTCATCCGTCTTTTAAAGTATGGGTTTGGGTCAGCTTATTGGTGGTCGTCATTGAGATCTGTGCTATTGCCTTCTTTGAACCTTTCCTCTAGTTTGTTTGCCTTGTGAATGAATTGATCTCGATTCCAAAGCTGCAGAAGTTGGTTTCTCGTTGATTTCATTGCAGAGCACTTGGAGAAGGTAAAGTACGCAATAGCAGAGTGTACTGCCCATAAAGGGGATCAGGATTAACGTGTTGAGGAAGACTTTTGGTAATGCTCAGCGTGAGTTTTAGAACGAGAGGTTTGCATTAACACAGAGTGGGTGGGGGATAGTCACGAAAGCTAAGCAAGTGTTGATAAACTTGAAGGATTGTCTACTCATATTCCCGACTTGCCCCGGGTATATCATTGAAATATGCCCTTACCCTTGTTTGTTGATTAACTGACTGCCTGTTTGACTTGGTGTGAGAAATGGCCTTTTATTTCATCATTCGTCAAGTGAGCAGATATATTATTAGTTGTCCTTGGAAGACTGCTTCCTGTTTGGGTGTGTAATGGACTGTGGACGCAGCTGTTCACCTGCCAAGGGGCGAACAGTAATTACAGCTAGAATTTATTTGTGTACTCTATAGCAACCGATACAGCTAGAAGGTTAGTAAGAAAAGCTCATCTTTTTGAGAAACGGCTAGGATTAGTCAATCAATCCACGTGAAGAAAATCCTATTTTTAGAATTACAAAGCAATGCAAGACCACATAATTGAGACCGCGAACCCCGTCGGCGAGACCCATACCTTGTAGTTGTGATGTTGTGCTCTCGAACCTGGAATGCATGTCGGACGTCGATTTGTTTTCAAAAGCTCTTCATATACGGCATTTCACTGATTTTAACTATCCATAGTAAATGCTTCTGTTCGATTTTTTGATCAATTCGAGCACATTTTTTTCCTTTGGAACGAAAGGCAAAGAGGCACAGTCGTCAGTGTAGCAACTAAATTACCCCTCTGGACTCTGTAAGACATGAGCATGGAGGTCGACATTTTGAACACTCCGAGAACCTAGAAGACTGGTCACATAGGCACGACATGAACTGAGTCTCATGGTGCCAACTTTGGTGTCGAATAACAGAGGGCTGAAGGACCTTATTTAGCAATAATAGGCAAGTTGCCAGCTCAAAGTGAACCAATGTCCTATTGGTATCCATATTCCATTCAAGGTTAAGCTCTATCGAAAAGCCATTCGAAAACTCTTATTTTAAATTTTAACTAAAAGTGAAAATGCAGTGAATTTTATCCTTCGGTACAAGATGTGTGCTTAAGGCAAGCGGGGACTTTGTGTTTTGCATCTGCCTTGCTAATTTGATAGAATTGAACGCTAAGGTGGGTGAAAAGTTCGTACTTTTACTAATCGCGATACCTCTCACGTGTCGGGCATGGACCATTTCGTCCGATACGATTCAGTACAGCTATATTTCATCAAGGTGCCACAGACCAGTCGCAGTCAGCTCGTGCATTAACACGGCGAGGTAGGTGCTGAACGACACCTCATCTTAACCATGGTGTCAAACTCCAACCTGTGCATGTCCTCTCGATGATGCAGCACTCAGTCGTTT